GGGGGGGGGGGAGTGTCGCCAAACTGGTTTAAATGCAAAATTAAGGGTGTTTTGCTAATGCTATGATAATCTAATTAACCCTTTGCATTGACCACTGATTTCATTACATGAAAATTATATGGCATTGATTGAAAGAGAGTGGAAGTTTTGATACCTAAAAAAGGGCTGGGAAATGCTTGGAACTGTTGTGAGTGGTTACTTAGTGACATGACATAATAAGAAAGCTGATGTCACATCTGAGTGTTTTTCATGCTTTGCCTGATTGGCTTGGGTAACAAACTTTCAGTCATGCAGGAGCTACAGCTCAATATTGTTCATGCAGAATCAGGAGGCTAACACCAAAGACAACTTGCCACAATCAGTAATTGTAAGATGCGACGAAAGTTTGGTGACCAGGTTTTAACGTTCAACTTGTGTTGTTGTCACGGGCAACAGGCTGCATTTCCACTGGTAACTTGTCGGCCTTTGATGTCATTGGCAGCAAAGCACCCGAAATTGCAGGAGGCAATATATTTGTTACCATTGGAAACGAGGTAAGTTGCCCATAGCTACAGCATTTTTTTTCACCAAAGCTCCATCACGCCTAACTCAACTGATAATCATAGTCACTTGCCACCGTGAAAAATGAGTGTCAGAAAAGACAGCAAGGCAAAAATGCCACATTCTGGCAAATTTCCAAACATTCCTTGAATTGTAAGGTACTGGCATTCTCATCAAAAAGTCATTCTAGGGCATTTTAGTCTCCTTTTCAATTCTTTGTAGCTAGTATCAAAGCGTTCCGTTACTTTGCGCGACAACCAAAGTAACGGAAAGCTAAGAGCACTTGATCCTTATTTTTACTGGTCTGTATTTGCTGTCATTGCTTCTTTGGTAATATCTTAGTTGTTTACTAGTACAACCTAGTATAAGCAAAGTAAATTCCAATCCCATATGCGGTCGCTAATTTAGATTAACAAAGTAAGTTAAGTTAGCATGTGTGTGCGATAATTTGCAGAGCATGTATAAACCGTACCAGCCTGGCTGAAACATTACGTGTTTTATAATATTGCGGTTGTGCAGTATTGAGAGTAAAAAAAAAGAGAATAAAATGAGAAACAAATTTAGCTTACCTTCGACTACGTGTTATGTAAACTTCACCGTAAGACAAAAAAGGTCCCATGCACCTTGGTCACGTCCCATGACAGCATATCCATTAATCAACCAAAAATGGCTTGAACTGAATACATTGTGAACAAGTCATCCGTGGAGCGTTGCCTCCGACGAGCTATAAGCTCTAGTCATCTCTTGTTCCCCTTGATGGATAAGATGTTTGCACGTAAGCATCAATCAGCTTCAATCGAAAGATAGGATTCAGTACTTTAAATAGTGTTAAAATTCTCACGACATTGTGAACAATGGGCGACATACTTTATCTTCATCGATTCTGCTTTGCTAATTGGCCCTCTCTGTGCAGAATTTCCTCGAGCCAACAATAAACGGCCACCGTAGACCCACCGCTCGTTTCCGCTGTCAGGCCGCCATGTTTGATTTCATTTGCCGTGGACACGTACTGCGTCAAATCGTCTCTTCGAGTTATGTTCGGAAGCGGAAATAAAACGAACACTTTCCGAATTAAAATTTGGCTTGTCGTGGACTGCTTTTCACTTTCTGTTGCACTGACTTTTTAATATTTCGCGCCCTTCTTGTGAATATCGAATCAAAATCTTTCTTTAATTGAACGCGTATTATAATATCGCAACTGAAAAATTACTAAGAGCAAGTACCCAACCAGCAAAAGCGCTTTGGTTAGAATCCTTTAACTTACTGGCCAGAATTTTCTTTTTCATTCAACGCAAGCTGTACACGCAACTTGAATGTTAAAAGCTAA